GTTAGGGGTGTATGCATTGAAGCAGTTGGAAACCTTTTAAGTCAAAAAGGCTTTTGTTTGGAATCATTTAGGTATGTTCCAGGAAGTTTCTCTACTTCTTATAGAGGTGTTGTTTTGGAAGGTGGCTTCTGACTAGCTCATATATGTGGAATATGCGAATTATTTGCCTGTGTCTGGTTTTTGGGAACCAGATCAGAAGAACCATTTCTGTATTTCCACACACATTGGTGGAAGAGAAATTTCAATAAAAAATGTCAAGGAAGCTCTAATTGTGGGAATCAGGATGTGGATACTATAAACAATTTCCACAAGGACAGCAAGAAAGATGTCTTCTTCAAGAATGTTTAGGTTTCATCTCTGGAGAGTTCTAATCCATTAAGTTCATTGACTTCATTGTCAAATGGTGGAAATATTGACTGACTAGGTACTTGACACAATTCTGCTGAATATTTATATTTAGTCCATAAGATAATCGTTACTCTAAAAAAGCTGTTGAAACTAATATTCAGAAAACATTATGTAGTGTTTACTGTTGAGTCTTGACCTATGATATCCAGATATCTGCACAAGGGTGTTGTATTATGTTGGATACTTCAATTTTTAGTGTAAATTTCACATCCAATACCGTATCCAGCCGTGTCCTTGTCATGTCCTGGTAACATAGGACTTGCCATGAAACAGTAAATAAAATTCTTAACTTCTTATGATCTGTGTAACTATCTCATGAACATTTCTTCTTTAGTGCATTTCTTATTTGTTTTCACATGCTTAAAAGTTTTCACCTTGCCTTTTCTCCCTATCTTCTATAAATATTATTTTATTATCCCCAAAAAATAGCAAGAAATAAACCTTTTTGGCCTGGAATAGGGATTCTTTTCATGCATTCACAGATGCTACTTTTTTGCTTCTTGACAAAACAGTACTAACTCAAATCAGTTTATTTTCTTGCCAGCTGCACTTAGGTTCTTGGGAGAGAAGAAAACTCTATTATCACCTTAAGTGGTCGTTGCATTAGGGATTCCCTGTTGCAGATGGGTGCCTACTCATTTAGGTTTTCATCTTTTACTGGTAGACGAATGTGTAATATGGTATCATTTGATCCGTTTTAGGTTTGAACTCTTCTTGTGATACTTATGGGGATGGTTGACATCAATTCGTTGCCTATTCATTCATTGAATGTACCTTCTAAAGCTTGAGTGATTTTTATGTCTGTGATCTTTATTTCTTTTTTCTTAGGTTAGTACAGAACCCTGGTGAATTTGTTGTAACCTTTCTGAGGGCTAACACATAGGATTCATCCGTGGTAATCACTATAGGAATTCTGGCTGTAGTAGTGCCCTAATGCTGAGTATTGATGCATTTTTGTAGAACTTCTTGAGGTTCTGATTTAACAAATGGAAAATGCCAACTGTTGATTTCTTTCACCAATTGTATGTGTGTGAATGTATGTATGTATCAGAAACAGTTCAGAATTTTATTAATGACAAAAACTGAATCTATTACATCAGAGGAAAACTTATTAGTGATGAAAGGCAAGAGACCCCTACATCAGAAAGATGCCGAAGTGAGAGAAGCAATATACAGCATAAAGCTGAGCTAAAATCTGAATTGATATAGAGAAACACAATCAACCTACTGGATGAATTTGAACTGAAATTTGAATGTCATCATGCTTTCATATGCATTTTTTTTTTATAACTTATACGCCAAATTAATACTTTGGTTCATAATGCTGCATTTTCCTTTTACCTTTAACAATGTGCTAATTGCACAAATACATACTTTATGATTTAGCATGTTATCCTAGTTTTTAACCTAATTTTAACCTAAGTTTTGAACAAAATTCCCCATGTTAAACAAGTGTTTCTATTACAAATTGTGTAATGCTTTTGTCTGATTAAGAATTAAGATATGTCTAATTTCAGTGTGACAAACCTGTAGACCCTTTTTCTGCCGTTCTCTCACTATATCTTAAAGGAAGAGAGAAAGGCATGTCAACCTTTGCACTGTTTACATCTACTATTGTTCATTAGCATATGGAGGCAATATTGTAATAGTAACTAGTATGATGATAATTATTTGGGTGAGATCTCACTTACAACCTTCTGTGCTACAGATTGGAATATGCAGGACCGTGTCTCCTTCTGTTCAATATCATGTAGGTCCTGCAGATATTAAGACATTTGGATGTTTTCCAAGCATGCTAATCTATCAAATGATCAATCAAAAGGGGTTGTAGTTGCAATCTTTAACATTGTATTTCAGATATCTATGGACTGATAACTTTTTTTTTCCTGGAATAAAACAAGGGGAGAGAAATTTTTGAAGGGGTGGGTATGGGTTGTCATCCTTATGGAACCATTTGACTTCTTAAATAAATGAATCAATTTTCTACTTTTAAGAATTTTGATACGTATTCCTTTCTGCTTCAAGAATTTGCATATCAATACAATTTATGTATCTTACCTTTTGAATATAAATATATTATTTCCATCAACCAGAGCTATCCTTACTCCCAAATGACATTTAGTGCTAGAATACAGGAAAATAAAGTGGGGGTACCTTTTGCCAAGGGGGAGTATCATGATAGAGAAGTCCTTGGGAAGCTTGAGGATCATGATCAAGTGAGGATGAAAGGAGTATCAAGGTGTTTCTAGGCAGTCCTTTGGGTGAGTGTTTTTTCTCTGAGGTCAGCAAGTGTCATGAGAAGGTATGTATAACATCAATGGGGCTTATTCTTTTTTTGTAATTTTGTTTTTCCTTGTTCAGAGGGTAACTTAGGTGAAGTTATCCCCTGGGAGTAGTGGTGGCAAGGGGTTTTTAGAACTCAGTTTGTGAGGAAGAGAGGGGGAGAGTTGTCAGGGAAAATCTAGTCAGTAACTTCTCGGGTGATTTCCTATTCTTGAGGGTTGGAAGTTATTATATTATTTGGTGAGAGATGGGCATTGATCTTATTGGTTTTACCGGGCTGTCTTAAGCGAGTGAAATCTCTTGGTTGGTGTTGTTCAATATTGATTTTCGCCTTTCTTGTCTTAGTTTTCCTTTTCTATCTTTGCTTTCTCTTTCTCTCTCTAGATAGGGGACTGGTCCTTGTATCTCAGGGTTGGAGGTGCTGTGTATTTTGGGATTAGATGTGGTCACAATTCTCTTGTCTTTTTTTTTTCCCTTCTCAGGAAGGGGAGGGGGTATTTTGGGGAGTTCTGCAGGTTTTAGAATATGTAGGGCCGATGTTTCTGCCTGGGTGCACATTACAGATTTTGGAAGGCTCAACCTTGGGCACTGTGTGAAGCTCAGGAAAGCATCTCCTTCAAACAAAGAAAAGCTCAGGAAGGCATTCCTGGTTCAAGACTCTGAAGCCTAAAGTGGAAGTCCAGAAGACCTTGAACTCATCATAAAGCAAATTGTACAAATAGAGCTAAATTGTGCAAGAAGACACAAATAAAGAGTGGTACATTGGTAAGAAAATCAAATGAAAGCAAAGTTATCAAAGAAAATAAAATCATTAAAAATACAAGAAGAAACCTATAGGCGCTAATTATGTCTTGTGGTTGTGGCCACCCTAGAAAGCACCCTAGACGACACCTGCGGCACCAAGGGAGAAAATGATTTCACACAGTTGTCCATATTACCCATTGATGACAATGGCATGCAGCATGAAACCCAGACAACTGAAGAAGCCAAGAAGATGAGTGAGATTTCTAATCCTTCATAGTCTGCAAGTTTCAATGCCATTATTGTCCTGGTTTGCTAAAGCAGGGGTAGAGAAAAATGTTGAAGAAACTGATGTTAAGGGAAAAGATTGTAATTTGTTTACACTTAATGATTCTGAGGAGCTTGAGATGCAGTCCACCAGTGATATGAGTGAGATGAAAATGTTCTCTAATCATCCAATTCTTCCAGGTTCTCCACCTGAAGCTATCCCAATTGATGGTATTTATGAGGCAAAGATTGATGGTAGAACATTGAAGGAAATAGGTTATCCAAAACTAATAGAGATCTTGAATGTAGTAATGATGTCAACTCAACAGGCTGCTCTACTTTTCCTGTCTCAATGGTAGAATTTTATGAAGTTCCAAAAGAGTCTCTAGATATGAAGGAGCCAAGTTCTGGTGCTCATGACCATTCTTTACACTAAAATGGAGTTGGAAGATGCTTTACCTCAGCATTTTAAATTCCAAGCTTAAGGCCAAGGGCAAGTACAGTTGCGACATCTGGTCCTGGAACTGACCTCAGCACAAGAGTATAGAAGGTATTTGGTGAAGAAGCTAAAGATACAAGGGGATGGTGCAGCTGCTTGTAAAGAAAATGAAGATGAAATTGACAGCTTATAAATGTGATGACCTTGAAGGTTTCAGTGGTGTGGCAAACCGGTTTCCCACCACCCCTGCAACCTTGAAAGATAGAACGCATGTGTAGGAGAAGCCAATCCCAAACCAGGGGTGTAGCGGTAACAAGTGGTTCAGCTGCCACAAGGCCACAAAGTATGCCATGTTTCATCAGCCGGTTCATGTTGAAGAGAATCTCTTCAACCTCAAGTGCCTGTGGAAAGGTTGTAAGATGTCATTCTTTGTCAAGGATGGAACACATACAAGTTCACAAAGAAAAACTCTGAGAACACGGGATCCAGCTGCAAGTTGGGAAGTCTCCCGTATATGGATCTTAAATTCATGGGGAGATGTTCCCAATGTATGGCTAGATGCCATGCTTGCAGTGTTCACGGGGATTTTGCTTTCAGGAGATCCCGTTGCTTCATAAAAGGGGAGCATCCATACAAGTGCAAAGTAACAGGGTGTGGGTGAGTCTTATGACTGAATGTTAAAGTTTTTGTCAGATTTCAGCCGGGCACCCTATGAACTTGCCAACATAATTAACATTATTTTAGCTGATTTGCTTGTGTTTAGACGATGCAGGAGAGAATGAGTAGTTAAATTTCGCATTCACAGACTCAGATACATGAAAATTGTAAATTAGACAGATTTCTTGTTAGGCTTACGTTCTTCATGATTTCATGGACGTATGTTGATATGTTATAATTTTGCATTCACTTGGGTTAGGATTGCTCTGCCTGATTTTTCCAGAGTAGTAATTGCCTCATTGGGTGAAAGATATGGCTTCTACTTAAACTTAACATCAGAGGTTGTGTTTGTTACATTGTTGTTTCTACCTAAACTGAAACGTTTTGGACTGATCAATACAAATTGATGAACTATATGTTTTGTCACTTCACGTAAGAGAGTCACTTCAGCTAAAATGATTCCTGAACAATTCTAAAATAAAATCTATTATACAGACGCGGAAAAGCAATCCCCATGATATCCATTAATAATAAATATTCATTAATAATAAGCCGAGCTTGGTTTCTCTGAAGCAACCCATTCTCTTGATGCCTCGCTTGCAAGCCAGTCCACCACTTGGTTAGTAGGACATATTGATGCTGCATCACTGAACGATCTGCCTGCACTACTCCTTAGCTATTGAGCTTGCCCTCCACCAGTATGGTCTTCCTGTTAAAGCTAGAATTGTGATTCTTGAATCTCCTATTAGTACCGAGGTGGTTTCTACTTCCTACCTGCTCTGCGAGTTTATGGGCTGTGCTATTAGTAGCTTTTCCCATGCTGGTGGAGGATACTATTAACTGGAACGTATGAACAGCTGCCATCACTTTGGTTGAAGCATCAAAGTTCATTTTAATTACATTCTGGGGGTAGCCATTTGATCCACTCAATCATTTTGGGATTGTTTTTTATTTGACTCTCTAGAGCTTGTTAGCATTTTGATAGCCGATCAGTCTTTCATAGTCTTTATTAATTATTTCTTGAATCTTCAGGCCTGTAGCTAAGTTTCTGTTTGCAAAAGTTCTCTGAGCTTGAATTCTCCCAGAATAGATTGAATTTGAGGTCACATTTATCTTCAGTCATTTTGATCCACCAATTATTTATGTTGTGGTTATTATTAAAATTTGGGGTTTATGAGATTATGATTTATATCCTCAATTTCCCCGCACACCACACACTCCGGGTCTATATTCATACCTCTATTAAATAGTCGTTTCTTAATTGGGAGTTTGGTCCTGGGCATTAGACATAAACAAGTTTTAATTTTAGATGTGCATTTGAGTTTATCTATAACTTTTAAACAATTTATTAGCTCAGTATTTTCTTCTGAATCTGAGTTTAGAAAGCTCATGTGCTGATTTCATTGTGAAGATGCCTTTTGGATTCCTTCTCCATATAACTTGATCCTCTTCATCTTTTCTCGATTGTGGTATGCTCGTCAAAGCCCATGAGGCTGCTTCTTTGGCTTTTGTTTTCTACTTTTATTATTAACACCGTAAGATATAGCTTAATTTCATCATGCTTGCAGTTAACTAATTCCATTTTCATAACTTCTAGACCACCTTTCGATTTCCGTATGCATTGGTTTAAGTCCTGGCTACCCTCTGAACCATGGTCTGATCCGATACAACCCCTGTAGAAGCATATCAGAAAGTCATCGGCACGATACGTATCAGCTGATACGGGCCTATACGTGTCGATACTTTGAGCCTTGATGCAGAGTATTGATTTATTTGCTTTTTTAGCATTGGTGCCCCCAAATATTTTTCTTAATTCAACGTAGGAATTCTAGCTATCTTATCTATTATTATTTGTTGAAGCTTGTTACAAAAATTTCTAGAGAATATCATCGATGATATCTGATAACTCAAGAGTTTACCTGCATCTTTTGCATATTTATCAAGAGGATGTCTTGCATTAATTGAAGCCTTTGCAAATATTAGGCAATCTTCAAATTCTAATAAATGAACTATACGCCCATTTTTGGCCAATGACAAATAGGTAGAGGTGCAACTTGGGTGGGTGGGTTCAGATTGGGCTTTGATCAAAATTTGAATGGGCCTAGCTCAAGGCCTAAGCCCAAGGCTGTGTAAAATGCTAACTGGGGCCAACACGAGTTGCACCCCTACAAGAATAACTATGGCAATAGAGGGTCTCCTTGCCTAATCCCTCTAAAGAAATGAAAATGAGATGCTTCGGATCTGTTTACTATGAATTGATAACTCACCGATAAAATACATTCCATGATCCAGTTCATCTATTTCTGGTGAAACCCAAAATTTTCTAGGGTTTTTCCTTATATAGCTCTCAATTCTTTCATAGGATTGTCCCATATCAATTTTAAAAGCAGTTAATCCTAGTTTCCTATTTTTTATTTTATCAGTGTTCAAAAATATTTCATAGGCTATCAGGATACTATTTGCTATTTGCCTGCCCAAAACAAAGGTAGATTGGCGGGGGAGATTAATTTACCATGCGACGATTTTATATATTATAATAATCACATAAACTTAATAATGGTACAATGTTTATATTCCAATTTGTATTGATCAACCCATTTAGGTAGACACAGCAAAGGTAACAACACAATGATAATGACCCCAAAAAGGAACATTGATGAGCTTCAAAGCTGGGCCTCTCGTGAAGATTAGCAAAATCCAGCTAGAACCCATTTTTAGGTTTTCAATCGAGGGTCGAACATCAAAGGGGTAATTGCAGTCTTGATTTTGGTTCCTTCTTTTTCCCCTTCTGCCGGTCTTTTCTATAGAAATTTTGGCATGTCCAAATCCATCCAATTCAACACTGCAAAGTGGAGCACCACAGCATTACCAGTACATCTACTCTACTGTAATTAGATTCCTGGACAACGCCTTGGGCAAAGAAGCTGTTGCATCATAGTTGTGGGCATGGGATCAAGATGCTACGAAATTCTCTATTTCCATAATATGGGATCCTATGGCTGAGTGATCTCTCTTGAGCAAAACGCCTTTTCTCAACTTCTGTGTACCTCGATTGTCCATCAACTTGTTCTCTTAACTATTCATTCTGAATAACGTCTGGGTCAGAAATCAGAATGGAGGCTCCCCATAACGAGGAAAGAAACTTACAAATATAAAAATCCAAGGTTTTGATGGATGTCATGTAGTACCTAGTACGTCCATAACAAAAGGACACTACTGTTTGATTATTATTATTTTATTAACTTGGATCAATCGAAGGAGTATCAACTAGGGAGGAAAATAGAAGGAATAGCTGCCCCCCCTACAAGAGATGCTTGTCTTCTTCCCACTTTAAAAGATTCGACCTCAACTTTTTCGAGAAAGATTCCTAGCTTTGAACTTCATTGGCGTATAGAACTATTAATCTATCTATTGCATTTGTATGTCTTTTGCATCTGCCATCACAGCATTCAATTCATTTACAGATTACAGCACAAACAAATCCTCTCTCTCTCTCTCCCTCCCTCCCCTACCCACAAGTGGTCATCTTCTTCATGTCCAATAATTGTTTATGGTAGCATATATTAATCCATGTTCTTCCTCCTAAACATCAAATCCAAATAAACACAGAAATGAACGAAAACAATTTTGCTCCCGTTCATCCTCAAGTTCCTATCCCCCGAACAAAGCAAACCCACCAGTCCAATCGAGGTCATCCCGCAAAATCATGAATTATCTGACCTCCAAAGTGCTTCATTAGATGATGTTCCTCTTGTTGTTGTTGTGGTTGCTGGTGTTGCTGTAAACCCTCGACGCTGTGCCTCAGTCCTAGGGTAAGGGAGACAGCTCCTAAACCCCCCATGTCTATCCCGTTTTGGTGATATGGCATGAAACCTATCAATCCATTGTCTATGCCCGATGGAAGCTGGCTGTGTATTCTTGCCCGTTCCCCTTGATTCCATTGATCAGGGTTCCTGCCATTTTCAGTGTTCAGCACAGGACCAGATCCTGAGCATTCTGATTGTTTTTCAGACAATGCCTCTATCATAAGCTTATGGGAGGATTCATCCCCTGCATGCACATTCTCACCACTGCTGACGGGCCGGCCTTCATTCTTGCCTGTATTCAGGTTCATTTCAGCAGAACCTTTGGTTTCAAGCATGTGTATCTCTTCAACCATAGGCTTCCACACTCTTACTCGAGCATTGATGAACCAGTTTGATACCTACATACACAAATCAAATGGAACACGAGATATCAAGGCCTTTGTACATTAGTAGTCACTTTATCACCTCTCTACGTGGAAGAAACAAGAAACCAACACAACGTGTTTGGGTTACGTTTGGATGAGCTTCAGGCTTTCTGCTTTTTATAAGGCCCAAAAGCACAAAGCCCCATTACTTGGTGTAATGGTAAAATCCAGGGCAGCCAAGCATGAGAATGGGGGTCTGAGTCTACCCCTCCCAGGGGACTAACATTGGGTAAATGGCCTCTTCGTTTTGAGACATAAAAGTGCTTTGGCTTCAGATAATAATCTTTTAAAAGCAATATTTTACAAATACCCAAAGCACTTTTTTAGTTCAATGTTGTTTTCCACAACCCAAAGCTCAAAAGCAAAGGCTTATCCAAACAATGGTTGGGCAAGGAAATACGTGGACCATGCACAGACTTTTTTATTAAACCAGAGGGCAAGGCAAAACCAAGGTTGGCACACTTCTACAGGCACCACAATGATTTAGCACCCCATGATTTCCGGGCCATTGATCATTTTAAATGCACAGTTCATAGTCTGTGACACACACAACAACCATCTGATAACAATTCTGCATCCTGACTACATGCTACAAATCCATGAACTAATATATTAGAATCAGTGTAATGTGGGGTGCACCTGATTCCGAGTTAAGCCAGTTTGAGTAGCTAACATAAGTTTATCTGCGTCAGTTGGATACCTGAGCAAATGCAATGAAAAACACCAATGTCGTCGAATACAATCAATGGGAGAGAATGAAATGCATCAAATATTAGGATGTAAAAAATGAGAGATAGCTAGCGCTGACTCACGGGTGAAGAAAATGATCAAATAACCATGCTCTGAGAATAGCAACAGCACGTTCTGGGAGGCCTCTTTGGGGCCTCCACACATGCTGTTGAGGTTCTAGGAAGCCCAAACCATCTCCAGTAGACTTGGGCTTCTGAAAGCAGTGATTAATAAACTTCATCCTTGGCGCAACTGTATCACCTCTACTATTAGTAGTGCCATTAGTGGGAGATGACAAATCCTCTCCCAGAACCTTTGTTATGTGTCTCAGCTGATCTGAGATGGCACTCTTCAAGCAATGGAAATGCCTAGAGACATTCTTCAAAGCCAATGCGGTGAAAGGGGTAGCAGCACTGAGACCAGCTACTGATTCAAACGATGATACCACCATCTGCATCTGCTCCTGGTATTGCTTGTATCTTCTGCATACCTTCCGATACAATAATGGGAGAGGAAATCAATTACCAAATGGAGTTTATTAACAATAAGCCAACGAGTGTTCCCAAAAGAAAAATGAAGCTAGAGAACGTTAAAATAGGATCAATTCATCTCTTTGGATTTAAAATTCTTTCAGCAATGGAATTGAGCCAAAATAAAATTGTCCCGGTAGTTGTCAGTCAAAACAGCATTCACTACCAAGTGCTAAGAGCAACAAAAGGTAGTCAAAAGGATAATGTAAATAAAGTTGGATAAAAGGAGTTAATAGGACACTCCGATCAAGATCAGAGCAAACAACAATGCAGCTGTCACCCACTTTATATTCATACAAGGATTGTATTGATTGATTCTTTATGATAAGTCACTTTTGGCCTTTGACCTGGAAAATTGAAGTTGGTAGAGGATACTATTAACTGAAAGTATAACACACACCAAGTGGTAAAAAAACAAGTTTGTTTCACACAAAGCATATAACCATATAACATGCTAACACATAATGAATGGGCTTTGGTTTCTATAGGTAATATTAAGCACCAAATAACTATGAAAATAAGAAAAATAATCCAAAACTTAGGTCTGTATCCATTCCACCTCTACCAAGACCCCCCATATATAGTTGGGACCATCATTGGGTAATGGCCCTTTTTACCCCACACTACTGTATATGGCACAACATGGTAAAGATAACACCATACTTCACACAAAGAATTAAATAATTTTCACCATTTACTAGAACTAGAGAAGTATGACTCCATAGTATCCTCTTTCTTTTTTGAAAAGGTTAAGGTAAAATTTATTAACAAATAAAAAAAAAACAAGAAAAGAGATTATATAGCAGGAAGATCATCCATTGGACAAAGGAGAGCTGCAAAAAGAGGCTCTAACCCTAACCCAGACCAGGGCCACCCACTGACACCACCAGCCCAAAGACTTTAAACCCGGGTAAGGAGCTAACCCCACCCCATGACACAGCAAACAAGCCAAAATGAAAAAAACTCCACGAGAGACCTAAAGTCCTGCATAAGTATTCAAATGAATTTGATTGGACAAATTCCATTCAGCTGAAAAATCACTCTTGTTGCACCTTATATCCAAAACTAACAAACACAGAAAGGTACAGAATTGACCTAAACTATGATAGCTGATTCTACAAACCCATTCAACAACGATTATCATCATCAACATCATCCAAGTCCCAACTATATGGGGTCGGCTACATGAATCCTGTTTCTCCATTCAGTTCTGTTTAATGGTGTGCATTAACGAATTTTTTAATTCACATTGTGTCACACGTTCAAGGGCTCAACTAAAAAAAAAAAAGATGGCAAGTATCACTTGCATATTAAAATATTTTTATATCAGAACACCAGTGAAGGAGATTACAGAATGTAAATAATGATTTATGCATTCACACAATAAAATTAAATACTCTAATACATATTTAGAACTACAACAATGCCATAATTCTTTTTCTTTGTTTTTTTTGTACTTACAATAATGCCACAATTCATATTAACATAAGGTGGTATATCACATCATGGCAGTAATGGTCCTTCAAATATATTCAAGTTAACCAATTGTAAATTCCATAAAAAAATTGAACCAAAGAAGGTGAAAATTTTTCATTGCATGCCAAGACATGTGAATAACAAATTTTACACCCTGAAAAACTTGCACTGTAGAATTGATGTCCCCCTAAGGTGTTCCCCTATTCAAGGCCCACTGTTCAAAGATGGTCTTTATCGGTATACAATCGACTATGAAATTCACTAAACACAAATTGAGTTGATAAACATAAAAATCAAAGATAAGGTTTGCTGTGGAAAATCAATTTTGTTGTCATCATCTCCACTTTACAAGGATACTTTAAAAGTAGGTGGATCAAAACAAACAAAATTGATTACAAAACTTGTCTATTCTGGTGCATTAAGGTTTCTTGCACTTTAGAGGGTGAGTTAGATGTCATCAATTTCAGCCGAGTAGTGATTAAAAGATGTCACTACAATGGAAAGACTGAATAACATAGTTGCTCATATCTAACCCCAAAACCATCCAGTCCCATGTTTGGAGAAAAAAACCATATATTTTCCCACCACCCTTCTGTTTCTCTCAAAATTAAACCATTCTAAAATCACGTTTCATAAAGATAAGCACATCAGGAAGTTCCTCTGTAACAGCCCCCAAATCTTTCACAATCATCAAATACTTCTAATAACAAATGCGCATCTTCTTTAAAGTTCCTAAATTTAAAAGGAAAATATTTTGTTAAGCTATTAAAACTGCACCATAACTTGTCAATTTATATACTTAGTGAATTTTCTTGATCAGATTCAGATCGGATATACCCAGATCTTAGGACTGTCGATCTGGATGTTATAAATCACAGAAGTGCTTTGGTATTAGTAAGATAAATTATAAACTACTCGGGTATTATACATCATTAATAAAAAATAGGCTAAAATAATTATTCATAAAAAAAGGCTAAGATAATTTCCATGGGTCTTGAAATTGTGAACCTTTGGTAAAAATAAAGAACTTGAACCAACTTTTCCCATAAACATACGTTAATTTTACGTAGACGTGTGCATATAAATGGTAATTAATATTGTTGGATTTTTTAATCATAATAAAATCAATGAAAAAAACTGATGTTCTTAGTGATTATCATCTCATAAAAAAGATTGTGGTGGATTTATATTTAATCTGATAAAAAGAATTAATGGAATTGATATTAGATCCAAATCCAGTTTAATTAGACCAGATTTTGGATTCAGACTCTGACTATAATATTTGTTCAGACCCTAATACAAGTAAACGTATCATGAACTTTATAATTAAGTTCTGACAAAATCTTCTCGTGGAAGTTGTAAAAGAAGGTTTGAACTTTTCTTTTTTTGACATTTCAACATGAATTCCAAGCACTTATCCAAATTATGAAGCATAGTTCATACACTCGCCAGAAAGGACAAAAAAGAATATATAAGTGCTGTTTTTTTTTTTTTTTGAGAAAACCTATGAACCAGATCATTGACTACAGTACAAAAGACAAGAGTAGGAATAGCCGCCCGATAAACTAAGAACCCCATTTTGGTGGCTGAGCCTCAGCTGGCTCCACCGAGCTCAGTTATTCATGCAAGGATTCCTAAGGCAATACCCAAGATATTTAATATCAATTAGGGAAAAAATGAAAATTCAAATACCCATGGAAATATGTCTAGTGCATCTCCCAAGAAACATTAACCAATCAGTAAGAAAAAGGAGCATAACTAGCTTATACCAACGAATATTAGTATTCAAATGTGAAAGACTAACCTCCTCCTGCATGTACAAGAGCTTTGCCTTCCTTCTTTGGAACTCAGGATGATACGATTTATAAAATCCACTTCCAACTGCAGCTTCACCACTAGCCTCAATGGAACTATAGAATGAAGAAGAGGAGCCACCAGTGTTGCCACCCCTCACAGTCACACTAGTCTCATTTCCAGCATCACCAGTATCACATGGCATGCTTATATCTCCCAACTCCTTCTCAGACGGCTCAGAAGTTTTGACAAGCTTCGGACCAGTCACACTGCAAAATTCATCCAGTAGCTGTTGGGCAGGCTTCAAGAACTTTGAGCTCTTCAAAATTGTTGCATACCCAGTGAAGGGCCCGAGGGGACCTGAACTTCGACGTTCATATGCAGAAGAGTTCATAATGCCTTGAATACTATTTACATAACCTTTATTACCAATCAATGGTTTGGAATAAGCGGAAGTATTACTCCTCGAATCTTGAGAACCATTGAAAATGCCAGTTCTGGGTTGTAAACTTCCAGACCGAAATCTTTCCCCAAACTGAGCTGCATGCAATTCGGAAGGCTGGTGAGAGGAAAGCGACAATGATAGACCTTGCAACGTAGAATCGCTACCAATGGTCTCCAAGTTTCCTTCACTACTCTTGTTTATTCCGAAACCCAGATCAGAATTCCACTGATGACTACCATCTACCGGCCTATGCGCCCAAGCACCGGCAATGTTAAGCCTTGATGCACTGGCCTGACTACCGAAAACCGGCAAAAGAGCGAGCTCATTTCCACCATCCACCCATGAACCAGTTTCCCGAACACCTTGCTGCACAAAAGAAGCCATTTCAAAACCTTGGTTCTCAATATTGGAAGATGTCACGACCTCCTGAAGGGTATTTTGGTAAAACGGGGGAGAACTGTACTGCATTGATTCATACTGCTTTTGGCTATTTTGACTGGATAATTCAGTGGATCGGTTGGTCAAAGAAGATTGGACATCTGGGTACCCACCATGACCAGGCTTCAAATAGAGGGTAGATGCAGAACCGCTGTTATCCTTCACCATGCCGGAAATAACTGCCCCACCAAGTGAGGTGGTCTGATTGCATGCATTACTTGTGGATCCATTCACATAACTCACAATCCAATCACAGCTCTGCTGTGACCCAAGGCCCTTCCAATACATAGGATTGGGGGTATCTCCGGGTTTAGCCAAAGGATTAAAGTTGGATGAAGTTGGGTTGGAAGAATTAACAAAAGAAGAACCGTCAGTCCCTACCGGCCTACAAGATTGATCCGCACCTGATCCTTCGTGCAGTAGTGAATCCTTGTGAGTTAACAAACAGTGGTTGCTCATTGAGAAGTTGAGCATTTCTGAGGAAACGATTGTCGGATCATATAGCAGACCGCAGTTTCTAACGTTCCGAGCCTGAATCAGATCTGGGTTGAGTCCGGCGTCTCTGGGTAATTGCACCAAAGGATGGGAGAAATCTTGTGTATGGTGGCTTTGGGAACCGTTGTGCTGAACTCTCAGCTTGTCACGACGGCTTTGCTGTGCGACATGAGATTCAGGTTTGAAGTTGCTTATCCCCAACAGTGAACTCTCTAAATTCGTCGTTGTCGAATTAAAACATTCTGAATCAAATCCCTCAGACATGGACTTCTCTATTATAGTCACGGCCTTTGACAATTTGTCACCTTCAGAGCTCCCCAGGGTCTCTTAACCTACTGAAGGACTCGTCAACTACCATGTTGAATTCCTGCAATGCAATTCAATCTTAGCGGGAACAAAAATCTGCATATAATATAAACCAGACTTCCGTATCAACATTAACCATTTAAACACGAAGAGATTGGAGGGGGGAAGAGTATTTATTTGAGGTGACATATTTGTAGCAGTTCAAAAAATCAAACATATAATCAAACCAGAGAAAGAGAGGTAGAGAATAAAGGATCCATTAATATAGCTGATAGCCGTAGGCGATGATAGTAAATGAACCAGACGAGAAGAGACTATACCGAGAAGACTTCGAGAATATCACATGGATTGCGAAAAACGAAACAAACAACGAAAGGGTGAGTGAAAGCAAAGCCTACTCCAGAAAAACAGCACATGTCTAAGTGAAAAATAATGGACTGGACAGTCTTCTCTATCTCTGATCACTATGCTTCTGTTTGTTTCTTTTCTCGTCGTTTTCTCTCTTTAAGAATCTTTCGCGCTTTCAGCCAAGCAGCCTCTCTCTCTCTCTCTCTCTCTCTCTCTCTCTCTCTCTCTCCTGTGTGTGTGCCCGTTTGTCTGTCTGTGGCTACGCACAACAGTGCAATTTTACTACTATGGGTAACCTCAACACGGGAAACTCAGAAATCACGAAAAGCATAAAAAAGTTTCAGAAAACAAGAAAAAGGAGAACTATACAACTGAACCACGAACAGTAAGCACTGCTGAAACCCTAACTTGGGAAGAGATACCGGCTAATCGTGATTGCAAAAGCTCAAGGCAATCGAATTTCATCTACTGAGTTAAAACCTCGGAAATCTCAATTTCATCCGACTCGGAACCAGTCGAAACATCCTAAAGGCCGCCGAAGTGGTCATTAACTAAGTAAATTTTCAAGCTCAGAAACTGCTATTTGTAGGATAGTTCCTGCAACCGAAAGACTTTTTTGTTTTCTCTAACCAGGAAACCACTGAGAACAGAATATTTTCTGCAACGATCGACCAAACCAGAGCGTCAATAATAGAGCCTAAAACTAGATCTAAGAACAAGAAAAACAACACAAGAGTTCCTTACTTTGGTGAAGCAACAAAGAATTCCGATTACCTCTCTCAAAGAAATAATCGTCGATTAGATCCTGGAATCCGAATTCGAGCTTTTTCCGACAAGACTTTACCGGAAATCCAACGGAAAATGGACCGAAATTCCAAGCTCACACGAGCTGGAGCAACGATAATAGCAAAGCGATAATCGCCGTTACCTTTAACGTCCATCACAGTCGGCTTTAACGTCATATCGCCGTCATCTTTAACGTCGAAAAACTCGCCCCTCGTAAATCTTAAAGACAGGAATACTCTCTTCACGCACCTCCCCACTTCTACCTCTCTAGTCTGTGAGAGTAGTAACTCATTCCTCACCAGAAAAATGGAGAAAAAATAAAGGTCAAAAGACTGAGACTACCCCCGCAAAATCTTCAAATTACGAAAGTGCCACTACGTCAACAAAATGACTAGATTCTCCTCGCGGAAATTCTAAATTCACGCAACCGCCATCATGCCGAACAACTGTTGAGGTCGTACGTGTCAGCTGACGATTGGCAGGATTTGGCGGGTAAAACTGTGTACTGCATTGAGGATGCTGATAGATAGAAGACATGTTAATGACGTCAAGTGATGGTCGTACCGGGTCTGATCACTGCGGGGCCGCTTCAATTGTCGACCGCCAGATCTTTTGCTTGGTGAGGTTGGTTTTACCGATTACCGATAAAAAACAAAAAAATAAAATAAAAAGAAAAGAAAAAAAGCAAGTCTGTCACCGAGTCACGTACGGCCAGGTTCTGTTGTTCCTGCGCTCTTCTGCTCGGAAACTCTCACTCTCGGTTACTCGGAATTACGAGAAAACCGAATATTTAGCAACTATTCAGTGGAATCGGCCTCAGGTTTGAATTCTCAATTAGAACCGTTGGAAGAGAATATTATCAAGTCATCAAGTTGGTCCTAACCATCACATGTACTTCGATTCCTTCGACGCCGACGACACGTTGTTCAATGAATCGGCCCATTTTAGAAAAGATCTATGATGAATAAATCTGGGCCGTTTATGAGATCATGACAACCACGTGGCGAGTACATATGCGGAGCGCCACGGGTTTTAGATTGTATCCGTCAACACCGGAATGAAGTACCGGAAAAAGCTTGCCAGACGACAGGACAAAGCGACACGTGGGGAGAAGAGCGGCTGCCATGTAAGACTACACGTGGAATATTCCCGGGCACGTGCGGCGCTCTGTACTAAAAATCTTTTTTTTTTTTTTTTCTTATCGAAAAGACTGGGAATATATATCAATATAAGTGTGTGGGAGTACGGAAGTAAAACGGGGGAAGAAGCAAGGATAATTAGGGAAACGAAAGAAAAAAATGGTTGAAATCGGGAGGAAAATCTTCTCCGAAGTGTGGACACATAGAGGAGTGGGTCCCATTACATTAAGGGTGGGGATTAATTAAAATAATTAAGAGGGATGGGGAAAATGGGAAGACAAGTGCAGCAGAAGGAACAAGGAAGGAACAATCTCCAACCTGACGACAACCCTTATCTGCTGACGTCAATCTTTCACGTCACTACAGAAACCCTACAGGGCAAAACCTACATGCCCCCCCCCCCCATAAATTATGCTTTTTAACTTTTTTAGGAAAAAAATAGATTTTTGGGGGCAAGTAATTTCTCGCAAGTATTTTCGGACGAAACTGCCCTCTACGTCAATAAAAATCTTCCGCTTGGCCTGTTTTGATTTGACAGAAAGTGAAAGAATTGACAAACCAAACACAGCCTAATCGAAGATGGGTGGACGTTTTGGTGCAAATAGGTGCTGGAGGGGGGAAGTGGTGATATTTGATATCATTATCTATTTTTCAAAAACTCGTGCCAGAGCCACATCGGCATTTTAGGAATCGAAAATGAAAATATTGTTTGGTCGGCTGATTTCAATGATTATCAAAAAATGAAAATATTGTTTGGTTTGTTTGGTTGCAACCAATTACTTTATTCGAGAGATGACATGGCATTGGATGTGCCACGTGGAGCTTTGGATCCAGTGAAAAAATCACCCTAGAGAATCACTGCCAAACAAAATTTGACTTGTATGGTAGGAATGTACCAAACAACAAAAATTGATGATTTTTGAGAAATCATCCATTTTAGAAATCACCAATTTTTGAAAACATCACCTATGTTTTCTTTATTTCTTTAACTGTTAATTTTATAATGATTAGAGGATGACTTCTATTATCCCAATGTCTCAGAACTTTTGAAATATATTTGTTTCGCATGTATATACATGCCTATCACGGTTTATTAATATAGATACCATACATTTAATATGTATTTAGATATATTGTATTTTTACGCTCAAAGTATCACAATATGTTCATATATATTTTATGATATATATCTTCAGGGTCGTTGATACATAAATACTTTACTTTGAAGAATGATATTACTGTGTTGAATACTTTGCCTCTACCATTCAATGTGTGGATCAAGTGCAAAAGTAGGGGTGGATTTGAGTTGAACTGAATTGAATATTTGTCTATTCGAGTTTGGTTCGCTGAAATTATGTTAGGTTCGAAATCAAATTTGAGCTAAAAATTTGAGTTAGAGTTCGACTACAAGTTAAGTTTTTTTTAAAAAATAAAAAATATACATATAAAAATATTTTTTTATTTTACATATAAAAATTAAGAATTATAAAAATATTTATTATTATACATATAAAAAATAAAAAAATATATACATATAAATAATGTTTTTATTTTACTTTTACATACAAAAAAATAAGAATTATAAAAATTATTTACCATCATACATAAAAAATAAAAATATTATTATATAATAAAAATTATTTATTATATATATTTACATGTATATGTATATGTATATGTATATGTATATGTATGTATATAATAAAAAAAATATTTATTATACTAGGCTTGCGAGCCTCACGAGTCGAACTTCACTGAACTTGATTAACAAACAAGCCTATATATCAGGCTCGGGCTCAACTCGAAACTCAATTTAAACTAAACTTTTCACGAGCCGAACTCGAATAGCTCATGAAAAGATAAGCTCGTGGCCACCCCTATGCACAAGTGAAAGATGATTTGATGGTGGAAATGGGTGATATTAACTTTATAACCAAACACACAAGAAATTATTTCATTGGACAAGCCAACCAAATGCCCAACTAGATGAAGTGGGGAGCAGCAGTGAGAGTCCACCTAAGCCTTCGAAAAATTTTCTGCATCTCTAATTTTAGTAAATACATCCAAAAAGAATAAATTATATATTATTATATGACTTGGTATAGGCATAGCTTCCAATCATACAATTAAAAACATAATTAAGGCCTCACTGGCTCCTCCCATGTAACTGATAGGAAATGCATTGATAAAGAAAGATTTAACACCTGCCCACCCTAGAAGGTACATGGCTTTGGGCCCATATACCATTAGTCTTAATAAGACGGACAAAGGAAATTATTTATGGAATTGGTGAGTTGGATACTTAATTGCTAAGTGACTTAAATGTATCCAAAATCTGCCAAAACTAACTACGACCTTTTCTAGCCCTTATGGAAAATGACTTTTCATGAACCTTAGGGGCTTCACTAGACTTTAACCTAAAACGGATTGGGGTTGTTTCAATCTGATTTCTAAGATCCAAACCCAAGCGGTTTTTTACTCAAATTTTGATCATCTAATACTATTTAGGTCTTATTGTTTTATCGAAAAGCTATTTATCTGAGTAAGTGAATTTATGTATATTATTTTGATTCCTATGTAAATTATACAATGATTTTTTTATCTATAAAAAATCATTATTAGAATATGTAAATTTGTCCTAATGCGTTTTATCAATTTTTTACCAAATGGAAAAGCTACTTGTTTCCAATAAATAATAAATAATACACGGGAAAAGTTATTTTTTCATGAATACCACATAAAATTGAAAAATGAACATGGGAAAAGCGAAGTGATCAATGGGAACCATAATTCCATTACCAACTTTCCAACCTTCAGAACCCAGAAAACAAACAGGGCCTTACAGTCCTACTTTGAGTGGCCATCACTGTCCAATTAACCCTTGCAGCTTATGCATGGTGCAATTGGAATTGGGCACAAAATTAAAAGAGGTAAAACCCATAATTTTCTTAATTGAATCTACATATTAAAATCTATTGTTTGGATTTTATTTTGTAACATGGAGTACTTACAAAAAAAAATTGAAGTGTCTTTTTTCTGATTTGAATATCTATGAAGGGTGGAAGATTAATCAATTGAATTTCCACACAATTGGGACAATAGATTTTATTCTATTTCCCTTCATTTAACTGGATCTACATCTCAAAAGAATAAGTTTTATGCCATAGAAATATCTTAATTCATCCCATATGATATGATTATCATCTAAAATGAAGTACTAATGTACCATATTACCGTGGTTTTCTGCAGCACTTAAAGCGGAGAATTTGGTTTGGGTACTGAAATCATGTTTGGTTTGGGAGAATTTGTACCACTCTTTACATCGGATTATGTGCAAAGGGTGTTTAAGAGAAACATTAAGGGGGTATTTCTACTTCATTAGGCTTAGTTTGGAAAGAGTATATACAAATACAAATTTTTAGAGTGCAAAACCTTATATTTTGTATATATTTGTACTATATATATTCTTTTCCAAACTGATACAAACATTGATAATTCAAAGCACAACGGTTTATATAAATGCATAGTTTTTATATTGCTCAAAAAATGAGAATATTTAATTAAAAACTTGGAATTATCTCATTCCGATATTCACAAGAAAATAGAATGACTTCAATTTAAATGGTGGACACATATAGTAAAATACAATGAAAAATCATAATGGAATCATTTCGTTTTTATCTACCATATATATATATATATAGCAGCTATCAATAAAATCAATTTAAGATGTTTTTTACTTAATTTAGTTCTCTGTCTTGGAAGAATATTAATGTTAGGCCCCTTTTTCAAATATTAAACTTCTTCCCTGATCCATATATAAAATCAAATATTCTAAAAAAATCATTGTATTCTTTATAAAATATGGTCTTGAAAACTGGATCAGACTGGATGGTCGGATCAGTTGACTTGAGAACCGGTGGTCAGAGTGGTCCATTTCTTGGTTGGTTTTCAAAACCATGTTATAGAAGATATCTAAGGAATTCTGTCAAGATACCATTCAACCTAAAAGCTTAAGTTGCTAGGTGAGGTCCCTGAATAGGTTTTTATTCTCTAACACGCCCTCTCATGGGAATGCTTAATTATAGGTTGGTCGAAATTTAATTAATTATAATGAGGGAGTCCGGATC